AAATTGCCTGGGGGCGGCAGGCAGGGCCGGGAGGGGATGCTCCGGGGGAGACCCTTAGGGGCGGCAGGCGGGGCCGGGGGGGACGCTCCGGGGGAGGCGCACGGGGCTGGCAGGCGGGGCCGGGGGGGACGTTCCGGGGGAGGCGCACGGGGCTGGCAGGCGGGGCCGGGGGGGACGCTCCGGGGGGAGGCCCACGGGGGCTGCAGGCGGGGCTGGGGGTGATGCGCCAGGGGAGGCGGGCCCCTGTGCTCTCATACTGGTGGAGCACTGGCACCACGGGCCCATACAACTCGCCGCCCCTGAGTAAATGCTGCTTCGTGACTGGCCTCGAGATGACGCAGAGGGATGTGAGAGGGAGACAGGATCAGGCCCTAAGCATTGATGGAGTGCGGCTGACACCGTGTTTGAGGGAGAGGGGAGAGACTTGCAGGAAGGGCTCGCCACTGAGGTCTGTCTCCGCAGCCCTGCTGAGGGTGGGGCTAAGTCTTCCTCTGTCACAAGGGGGAGATTTCCAAAGGCCCTGTCACAAGGTGGCTGGCCTCTTATGGGGGGGGTCCCAGCCCCATGTGGGCAGCGTGTGACTCCTGCATTTGGAGAGGCTGGGCGTGAGCACTGGAAGCTCCCTAGAGTAGGGAGGATACCGGTGCCTGGCCCCTGGCCCCTCTCCTCCCTGAGGCCCACCCCAGCTCCCCCTCCTCACCCCAGAGGCAGGGCACCAGCTAACGGGGAGGACACGTGACCTCCCCTCATGTCTCCTCCCTGCGCCTCCTTCCCACCCCATGTTACCTCCAGGGGCGGAGGGCTCTTTCCTCCCTCTGTGCCAGCTCCCCCCCGTGTGTTTGGCTGCCCTCCCTGGCAGCTAGGCCTGGGCGGGGAGCGGGCCAGAGCTGTTCCCAGTCACTGCTCCATACAGAGTAGCCAGCTGCGTGGGAGAGAGCCTGGCTGGGGAGGGATGGCAGCAGCAGCCCTCCCTGCCTGGACTCAGCTTCCAGGGACACTGGTTGACTCTGAGCATGCTGGGAGAACGGGGGTGGGGGGCGCAGTCGGGAAGCAGAGGCAAATTAAGGTTGCCTGGGGCCTTGAGCCAGAGTGAGTGGGGTGGCTCCTCCCCCCCCCTTCTGCCTGCAGCCCCACCCACTGCCCCAGCCCTTTCTGCTCCTTTCCTGTGGCCCACTCGTTCCACCCAGGATCCACCCACCCCATTGAAGTCCCCTGCTCCTTCCTCCTCCCTCCCCTGCAGCCCCAAAACCGGAGAAGCTCTGTCCCCCTGCCACAGGGCGCAGCGGGGAGTGAGAGCTCCTCCAGTCCCAGTGCCACACCCAGTGGCCTGGGTGCTGGGGCTTCCCCTACCACACCGCAGCTTCTGCTGGGACAGGTGGGTGGCACTGGGGCTACGGTGCTTGTGGGATGGGTTTTGCACACCCATGAGGGCTGAAGCTGTGTCCAGCTCAATGTTAAGTGCAGATCAGGCCTCAGTGCGCTGTGGAGGTGAGGCAGCAGCACCCTGGGGAGCTTTTCATACACTGATTCCCAAACTCGGAGCAGCCTAGAGCCTTCAAAAAGGGGAGCCTGTGACAGCAGGGCCCAGTAATCTACCCAAGAGAACTCATGGGACATGTGCCAATAGAATTGTAGGCAAATTAGCTGTAGAGGAAGGGTGGGGATAGATTGAGTTATTGCTGTCATAATGGCCCTATTTGAGTTATCTGAGCCTGTTTGCAGCCTATATAACCATAACAATTCTGTAACCCTTCTGCCTGTCAGAGTTGGCAGCAACAAGGGCCGGGTTCCGTATCTAGGGGTTCCGTTTTAATAACACAATGCAAAACCGGCTGGAAACCCCACCCAGTGACCTGGGACAATTACATGCCACCCTCCCCCGGGCGCCTCTAAGAGGCAATACTTCCCCTCTCACGAGCACAGAGTCTGGGTGTAGCAAGCCTTTTAATAAAGGAGGGAAACAATGTGGCATTTTGTTGGGGAAACACCACAACAGGATTCATAACACAAACCATGAGCAAAAGACCCACCCCCCCCAAGTAAGTTTGTCAGTGTCTTTTTCCCCTCGGGGTCTTAAGTCCAGCAACCCAACAGTCACCCCACCCACAGCTTCTGTCCTTGGTCTGTGCAGCCCCCAGAGTTCAGAAGTTCCTCTGCAGAGTTTACCCCCCTGCCTGGGTGGAAATGGGGGGAGATATGGGGGCATCTTACATGGTCTACTGCTCAGGTCAACAGCCAATTGCCAAGCCTCTCCATGGGGTTCTGCTGCAGTCTTCACCACCAGCCGCTCCTCCCACCTGGCCACTCTTCTCCACTAGCCACCCTGCTGGGCACTCCTCTCTGCTAGCCACTCACCAATATGGCTTCAGCCCCCCCCCCTCCTTAATACAGCTCTCAGTGATTTCAGCTATCAGCAAGGTGGTCCCAGTACTAATGCACTCAGAACACACATACCTGTCCTCAGTCTCTCTCAGTTCACTAGGCTTTGGAACCCATGTCCCTTGCCAATGAGTGCTACTTAGTTGAGGGTGAGTCCCTCCGTCATAAACTACCCAGTTCTACTATCCTTGATTCATAACTAGGATAACAACAGTTTATTTCTCCTGCCCTGATAACAAAGAGACTGGGGGTCCCACAGCAGCCAAAGTGACCATTTGGGCAAGCAGTCCATCATGCTAGGCAGGGTGGGTGTGTCCATGCAAATAAGATCAGCCCCTGAAAGTCCTTTTCCACAACTCACCACCAGATGTCAGGGTAGAGCTCATTCTGATCTGCTTACATCTAAATACAAAAATTATTAATCACTTAGCTAAATAACATCATAATTTCTTCAAATTTAGCCTGGGCACAAGAGGTCTAGTAATGTTAAACTATGTGGAAAGTTTGAGGTTTCATCTATCCGGGAGATTATTGAGATCATTCTGGACAAAGAAAAGACTGACACTGGGTGCTAAATTTCTTAAAGGATCCAGTTTTTAACTAATTTTAACTCATAAACTAATTAATGGACGTACTTGTAAATCTTCAGACAATCCATTCAGTGCCCAGTGAGTGAGTGCTGTCAGTTTGAGGAGGACGTGCTGTATTTTTCATATAAAACAAAGAGGTTGAATCCCTGATTTAAGTGCAAAATGCAATTCAGGCCGAACTGTGGAGTCAGAACCAGCACTTCCATGACAAGGCACTCTTGAACTGACACCGGGGATTGCACTGGTTGATCTAAATCAGTTTCTAAACCGCTGTAGCTCAATTGGTACAATTTCCTTGTGTAGACAAGACCTAAATCCACGGCCTCATTCTCGTTTTGCACTAGTGTAATCTCTGTAGCCTCCTTGGCATTACTTCCAGTTTACACGGAGGTAGCGGAAAGCAGAGTCAAGCTCTACGAGTCAGTGGAGTATTACCCTGGTGTCACTGGCAACAGAATCTGGCTCAGTGTCGGCAATGAATGTTTCCGCTCATGTCAAACAGGGATGCACAGAACCTGGTTAACTTTCATGCAGAGACTGCAGTCATTTGGAGGCTCCTCCTCAGACAGGCCCGGACACCAGTGGACAGGAGAGTTCAGCTTTTATGGTACTGAACATTTTTTCAGCCAAACTAAAAGTCATTGAATAGACTTTGCTGAAACTTTTCAAAACGTTTCCCCTTGTGCTGAGTGTAGCTGGGGAGACTTCAGCCGCAGAAGAGACATTCCCCCTTGGGCTGAGTGCAGCCGAGGAGGTTTCGGCCCCAGAGGAGACATTTTCAGGAAGCTGTGAGCAAGTGAGAGCAGGGAAGCCCCGCATTGTTGCAATATTGGGTGTTTTTCTTAAAGCCCCTGCTCCTGGAGTCATGTGATTACATCAGACTCTCAGCTTTCATTTAAAAAAAAAAGGAAATGTTCAGTTCCCATGGCTATGGAGAAAAGTTTGAAAATGTGACCCCAAAAGACCGGAAACTCAGAAGGCAAATAGACAGAGTCCATAATTCTTTATATTTAGGACAATCTCATGATTTGATGGGACGTGACGCATAATTTGTGAACACTGGGGTTGGTGATATTGCAGCGCTGATGTGATCTTAACTAGAGTAAAGGCTCCCCCACTGCACATCTGCTCCCCCACATCTTCTCACTTCTCCTAGCACAGTCCTCACCCATCCCTCCCTCTGCTCTTTCCCTAGGTCTCTGTGAATGGTCAGCACTTCCTGGAGTACAGACACCGCCTTCCCCTTCATACTGTCCAGATCCTGGAGATCAAAGGGGATGTGACTGTGAACTGCATCAACTTCACAAGCCCCAGTGTGAGTATCTGCTCTGGCCTTGTTAGCACCAGTTCCACTACTCAGGCCGGAAGCCCAGTGGCAAGGGACGTTGTGTTAACAGACCTCTCAACTGTCCCGGGTTTCGCTGGACTGTCCTGCTTGAGCCCCAAAAGTCCCATCCTGGCTAAAGGAGAACATTTTGCACATTCAGGGCGACCTATGAGAGGAGAGGGGAGAAAGGGGCCGTTTGCCACTGGTCCCTTATTTGAGAGGGCCCCCAAACAGAGTGGCATTGTGACACAGGGTCACAGCCCACTCAGGTTTGGCCTGGCCGCCTCTCTGTCTATGGCTGGCTGGGCCATATCTGAGTGACCCCGTGCATTAGGTCACAACACCAATCAAATCTGGCCCCTCCATCTACAGAGGCAGATGGGCCAAACCTGAGCGTCGCTGTGTCTCGCTTTAGCACTTGAAATATTGGGTGGCATGTGTTCATGCAGGGCAAGGAAAGCCAGAGGAAATTGGGATGTTGTTCCATGGGAGCCCCCTCTACTGCACCCAGCAGGAGACACCACTCAGGAACTTGGGTGTGACTAATGTCTTGATCTCCAATGGTGCCTCCAATGTCCAGGCCCACAGTGACTGGCCACTCAGGCATAGGCACTGACTCCCTGGGTGCTCCGGGGCTGGAGCACCCATGGGGAAAAATTGGTGGGTGCTTGTTTAGTCTGCAGAAGAGAAGAAGGAAGGGGGGATTTGATAGCAGCCTTCAACTACCTGAATGGGGGTTCCAATGAGGATGGAGCTCGGCTGTTCTCAGTGGTGGCAGATGACAGAACAAGGAGTAATGGTCTCAAGTTGCAGTGGGGGAGGTCTAGGTTAGATATTAGGAAAAATTATTTCACTAGGAGGGCGGTGAAGCACTGGAATGGGTTACCTAGGGAGGTGGTGGAATCTGCAGTCTTAGAGGTTTTTAAGGCCCGGCTTGACAAAGCCCTGGCTGGGAAGATTTAGTTGGGGTTGATCCTGCTTTGAGCAGGGGGTTGGACTAGAACCTCCTGAGGTCCCTTCCAACCCTAATCTTCTATGATTCCATGGTTTACCTTAATGTATTTTTTGGGGTTTACGAGCCGCAAGGGGAGGCAGCCCCGGCTTATAGAATTCACTCCAGCAGTGTAAGTACAACTCTTCCATTCCCATGTTCTGCTAACTTAGGAGGGGATGAGTATCTAAAGAGCAGATGCTCAGATCATCCTAGAAAAGTGAGCTGGAAAAGCTCCAGGAGACATCAGGGGCCAAAATGGTTGTCTCTGGCCATGGTAGCCTGCACAATCCCCGACATGTCCCCCTGCTGCATCAGCATGGGAGTAGTGGACTGGGTCCAACTGTCCCCCTGCGTATGAGACATTCGAACAGGGTTTGCCTCCCGCTGCCCAAGTCCTGTCGGGCTGAGACGACTTCCTCTCCTGGGCAAGGGCTACGAGACCAAAGAAGCCAGAAAAGTAAGTGAGGAGTGTTTTGTCTTCCTCCACCCCCGTGGCACTGCCTCTGTGTAGGCTGCAGGCTCCGTAGGACAGGGCCCTGCTTTATACCTGAACTAAGCAGACTTTTGGGTGCTCTACGAATGCCCCAGTCACCTGGATGGGAAGCGTCTTGCTGCTGAGACCCCTGCAGCCTATCAGAATGGAGCAGCCACACAACTCACCAGAGTGACACCCCAAGACCTCGCTTCTCAACATCCTTTCTGAAGGGGAAGACACCTGAAGGTCCAGTTCTCTGCAGGAATCATTTGTCTGGGCCGCTCATTTTGGGGCTTTGTCCCACATCTGGGCCTTGGTGGGGCGAGAGGTCCAGCTTCTGCTTTGTCACGAAGTGAAGGGGCTGTTTAATTCTGATGACATCATGCAGGCAGGGGAGTTCTAGCTGCTGAAGCTCAGATCACAGGTGCTGTGCTTACCTGGCCTTTCTGTCCTTGCAGATCTCCAATGTGTTTGCCCAGCCAGTCTACGGGGTTCCAGCTCCCACAGTGAGTATTTAGCTACAGATGAAACACATCCATCGTACACAGACTTTGACAAGACCCTGGGATGGGAGGGGGCAGGATAGGGAGGGAAACCCAGTAGGGTAACATCATCCCTGGCATATCATACAGAAGCGCCAGGTGAGGCTGCAGAGGTGTAGGGTACGCACACTATGCTTCAAGGACTCCTGTGTGGGGCCATGAAGAAAAGCCTGCATGGCTCCAAATCTCAGATCTGAAGAATCCCAATGCCCTGGGTGGTGCAGTAGCTGGTAGCCTGTGGCTCGAGCAGCCATGGGCTTGCAGAATGTGCAGACGGAGAGGGCACGCAGATTTAAACTAGGGAGCAATTTGGGAAATCCGAGTTCACCAAATCGCTGGGAGCAGATGGAGCTAACAGAGGGTCCTGTGTGAAAGAGCAGAGACACTGGCCAGGATTTACAGGCACTGTGACCAGATAAAGAGCGGCTGCTCCTGAGGTTGGACAGCTGCTAACATGGAACTCTCTCTTCTTCCACTCATTTGCACCTGCCTACTGTTATATGCCGCTGACCTTAGTCCCACATTTCCTTGTGTCCCACACAAACTTGATGTTTCATTTCAGCTGACTGAGGGCATAAAATTATACAGTTAATGCAGTCATATTCTTCACTCTTAAGACTTTGTCAGACATCTCATAATACTTTTTATACACTACAATTGACTTGTGGAACTCATTGCCACATGATATCACCAAGAGACGTAGAAAAAGATGGGACACTTATATGGATGATGAGACCATTCAGAATTAAATTCTGGTTGGACTGAAGTCTGTGGCAAAAAATCCCATTGAATTATGGACCAGAATTTCACCCCAACATTGTGTTAGAGAGAATAAAAAATATGAGACATAAACCCTCCTGCTTTGGGGCATAAGCTAACCACTAACTGGTAGGGTTAGGATACAGACTAGATGGCCACAGGTCTGCTCTGGCATGGCAGTCCCTGTATTCCTACAGGTATGTTCCTATCTGGGTCCTGGTGGCTGGGAGTTTTAGGGCTGCTGTACTTCAGACAGAAGCAAAGGAACTGCAGAGCTGCGAGCCTCCTCCTTGTACAAGGGAGAATGACTGAGGCATTAATATTCCTTGTATGTCACAATTCTGTAGCAGACCCTGTAGAGCTGTGGCTCTGTCCTGTGAAGAAATAGAAACAGATGAACAAGGAGAGAACAGTTCTACCTGGGATTTGGATATCTAGGATCAATGGCATGAAACCAGCCTGCCTTCCATGAGGGAAAATAATCTGTCTCTGGTATGCTAAAGTTGTCAGGGTTCCCTCCCCACTCTGAACTCTGGAGTACAGATGTGGGGACCTGCATGAAAGACCCCCCTAAGCTTATTTCTACCAGCTTAGGTTAAAAACTTCCAAGGCACACATTCCTTTCCTTGTCCTTGGACGGTATTGCTGCCACCACCAAGTGATTCAGGAAAAGGACCACTTGGAGTTCCTATTTCCCCAAAATATCCCCCCAAGCCTCTTCACCCCCTTTCCTGGGGAGGCTGGAGAATAATATACCAACCAATACGTTAACAAAGTGAGCGCAGACCAGTCCCTTAGGTTTTTAGTGTCCTAAAAACCAATCAGGTTCTTAAAAGAAGAACTTTAATATAAAGAAAAATGTAAAAGAAGCACCTCTGTAAAATCAGGATGGAAGGTAATTTTACAGGGTAATAAAAAGATTTAAAACACAGAGGATTCCCCTCTAGGCTCAACTTCAAAGTTACAAAAACAGGAATAAACCTCCCTCTTAGCATAGGGAAAATTCACAAGCTAAAACAAAAGATAGCAAGGAAATGCCTTAGGTTATTACTTACAATTTCTGTAATTTTAAATGTATCATTTCAGTAGGAGCTGGGGGTTAGTTAAACATAAATTGAAGGGTACAGTGACTAAAGTGAAATCCCTGCAGGCTGCATGGACGCTTTTCAAAGACACCGTAATAGAGGCCCAACTTAAATGTATACCCCAAATTAAAAAACACAGTAAAAGAACTAAAAAAGAGCCACTGTGGCTTAACAACCATGTAAAAGAAGCAGTGAGAGATAAAAAGGCATCTTTTAAAAAGTGGAAGTCAAAACCTAGTGAGGTAAATAGAAAGGAGCATAAACACTCTCAAATTAAGTGTAAAAATGTAATAAGAATAGCCAAAGAGGAGTTTGAAGAACGGCTAGCCAAAAAACTCCAAAGGTAATAACAAAATGTTTTTTAAGTACATCAGAAGCAGGAAGCCTGCTAAAAAAACCAGTGGGGCACCTGGAAGATCGAGATACAAAAAAAGAACAGGAGTACTTGTGGCAACTTAGAGACTAACAAATTTATTAGAGCATAAGCTTTCGTGGACTACA